TTTGTTGTTTCACACAGACGGTCGTACAGGCGGTTGCGAACTAATTGGCGACGTAGAGTAGNCATTTTGTTCGAACCCACTCCGTGATCAGCCTTGAAGCAGTGAAGAAAGAGGCAGGAAAAGACCATCGAGTTTAGATTTTCACTCAAATGTGTTGCCAGGTGAAGTACACATTGGTTTAGACATTCTGAGTTGGCAATGTCATTGTTTCCGGCAACCATCCTTTCACAGTTTCAAATCTTGTGTTGCTAATATGATCTTAGATCTCGTGTAGATTTTGGCGACCTCTAAAAAGCTGCTAGCAACCGTTTATGAATGAAAAGGGAACTCACGAACTATGCAAAATGGTTGGATGTATATCGACAACAGCCTACGGAGTAAGCCACGACGAATCACAACTTCTGAACTAGTTCTAGCCGAAGATTTTAGTTTGTCTCTCCATCCTTTTTTCTTGCTTGTAGCTAGATTGGAATTGGACTACAACGCCATGTTTCTCTCTGAACTGTCCCCGTCTTGCACGTTAATAATCTTAACGGCCTCACGTTTTAATTACGTTTTACGTGCTCCTTGAGTTTTATTTCTTTATGATAAAAATCTCCCTATGGATGCTGACTAACAATAACAAAAAATTCTTTCTCAATTGAAGAACTACTGACGACGGGCCATTCAAGTAACCAAGTAAATAAATAATCACAACTGGTGTACGGTTCCTAGCATTTCTTGCATTTGATTCGTTTTCCTCGCTTTCATCGTCCACAACGGTCTTCAAACGTTTCGTGTTTTGTTCGGGTTACTGCTTGAGGACTTTGTCTTTCTCATGAATGTCGTAGAATGCTGGTCGAGTCGATTCTCCTTGAAATCTTGGAGATGTCGATCTGTGGTGTTGCCACGCAAACTGGGGAAGAGCGCTGCTAGGGAATCGAATCACGAGCTTGTTCGCTGATGGAGCGCATCATTGACTACTGCACCAGTCCTCGCCTATCGTGGGCCTTACTATTTACAACCCGTATAAGCATTACCACCATATTAGCTGCATTAGATTAACATTCTTTCATTCATAGACCTGGACGAGTTTGATGAAGTTTTTATTCGGCTAACGTTTCGACGTCTTCGTTTTTCCTAGAGCCAATGAGACCCGCGTCCATAGTCCACGGCTGTTCGTATTCTCTATGTGGCGGCTTCGTCTTCGTAGCGAGTCGGATCTTCCTCAATGGAGCATGTCTCGAATGAGGCATACTCACCGGCTACGCTTTTTTATACAAGATGATGATTGCTGTGTCCGATGATAACCACTTGTTTTTCCTGAACAACTGCTGAGCGTCGAAGCAGATTATGGTCTCCGATGAAGATGATGACGTCGAAATGGTAGTTGAATAGAAATTATTTGTCAACGTCATGTTAGCTTATTAAAGGAAGAATACTTGTTGATTAGTCATGCCGAGGTTAATGGAAGGTCACTTTAAACTATATTAGATTACTTCTAAGGACCGACTTTCTATGAGACTCGGTATTGATCAAAGCTGTTTTCTTGACGAGTTGATAGATGAGAGGTTGTTGGCACAATATTTGTTTCAAATCGGGTAGCGTTTCGACGGTTTTCGCGCTCTTTGAAGCCTGTGAAGGTGAAATTTATTCCAAATCTTAGCCAAATTCTTCCATAATCTCACCAGAAGAAATTGAAAACACGAATTTCAGTCACATGGAAACCAGCTTCTGCTAGTAGTTACTGATTTCTGTTACTCTTCCATCCATTGTTGAGGACAAACCACACAAAGCTGACACTCGTGAGGACTGTACCTCTCCCGACTTAGCCCATAACGTCCAGTACGGACACTATTGCGTCCACTTTCAGTCTAGTGAGTTAAAGGAATTTTTTTTACCTGCACTATTAATATTCATTCTCTACTAATCGCAAGAATGTCAAAATAGGAGCCGGTGAGACCAGTGCAGTCTTTTCCCACACCCATTAGGTGTGACTTACAAGGTTTTTTTTTCTAAAAAGTTCATTCACCGGTAGTTTGACCGACAATTAACCGCTATTTCATCTTAATCATCTTTGAAGCCTGTGAAGGTGAAATTGCATGGAATGTGCGGACCTCAAAAACATCGAAATAGATCCATTAGTTTTTTACATGACTGTCCTAACACGTTATAAACCTTTATTCTGGTAAAATCTAGGCGCCTTCGCCTTTCTCAAAGCCCCGATGATTCGAGTCAACGGTTTACAGCTGGTCGTTGTCGTGATGTTGGTGGTCGTCTTCACATCCATTCGAATCCAGTGAAGGGAGCACCGTTCGAATGGTTAACTTCACTCAGCGATGCGCTTTTATAGAGAGCGGCATCAACCGATTCCAGTCTCTGCTACGATCCACTTTAGGCGGCAATGTGTCCTATAGAGTATTCGATCGTAGTTCATTGTCTGCGACCCAATTTTTTAGATAGACAATTTCGAGCACTCCTGTGTAAGTTCACTGGGAATGAAGGAAAGGATAAATGGGACCGCATTCTCCTAGAATTACAGTTTGGAGCGTGATTTCTCCTCTGCTCCTGTCCCGATGAGCTACAGTTTCATAGCTACCGGAAGTGGATACTTGCCGCTTTAATTTTGGAGATTCTTCCTTCTGCTCTCTTCCTGTGCACACACTACTAGCTGTCTGAAGCGACTTCCTTACAGGCGTTCCTTTCTGTGTGTGAAGAGTGAGAGGTGAGGTAATGCACCAATATGTTTTTGGTACTTTTTCTGTTCAACATTTTGATAAAGGTGGTTTTGAACAAGCCAGTTCGAACGTGGAACGCATTGTTCCTCTGGTTTCTCTCGGTTATTCTTTCAATGTTATCTATACTAGATTGTTATGATATTACTAGTGCTACTATAATTCCATTATTATTAAGTGCTGTGTATAAAACTTAATATCAAGCAATAGAGCAATGATGTTACCTTATCACACAGGTCTGTCGAAATTTTGGAGCCTATGAACCAGAACACTGGCGCTGATGAGGCAAGAGCTCTGAAAAATTCAGGTGGGAGAGAACTTTTGCAAGTGAGAAAAATCTCTGAAAAATGGCTAATATTATGAGAATAACAGATAAATTAAAACATATCTTATTTGCAATCTTAACTTATTATTTACTGCCTACTCCTTTTAATGGCAGCGTATGTTACGAAATATAACTTCTATAATGCTGAGATATTTGCAAAACTCCGGACCGCAGGTATCTGCAGTGGGGGAACGAACGCGCTATTGTCCTTTCCGGGGAGTAACGCGTCCACCACCACACCACGTGGGTCCTTCGTTTCGCCTGTCTCTCAGTTAGTTCTATCGATCTTTTTGCCATTATCAATCACTCGTCAACGGAATTCATCTAGGAGCCCAAATCGGCATTGAACCCAGTTAAGCTGAGGCTTTTGCAAATAGCGCGTTCGTTCCCCACCGCAGACACCTGCGGTCCGGAGTTTTGCAAGTATCTCAGCATCATTGAAATCCTATTCATTTGTTAACACAATCTTACATCACATTTCATCGGTTCTCACTACTCGTTTCATTGGATACGGTATCCATTAAGACCTTCATGCTTGCTTGTGAGTTCGGCTATTCCCCAAGGAATTCGTCTTTCGTATGAATGCCGCTCGAGTAGACTCTCCTTGGTATCCTGGGATAGGTGGGCTATTTCGATCTCAGAACTTCACCATGACATTCGTCAGTCTTTGTGATCGGACGGAATTCTTCCCGTGCAAGTCAAATACATATCTGCCGATGTTTGAAGGATGAGAGGCGTGTTTGGGCTCAAGCGGTGAGAAACCATTGACTTAGAGGGTGTTATTGAAAGGCACTTCTCTAACCATTGTACGTATTGCCCCTCAAGCATGGTATAATAGCTTTATAAACTGACTTCTGAACTTATTAAATCATATCTAACGATCTTATTATAGTGAGCTTTTGCGTGTGATTTACTTAGTAACTTTTCACTTTCGAAAAGTTTTCAAATTTCTTTTGAGCCGATGCTTCATCCACTTCAAGAAATCTGCGCAATACCCCTAAAGCGTTTGGAAGATGTCTTTTGAAATTTAACTTGTCTTCAGAGCGTATAACGGGAAAACGCAGCTCAGATCTTAGAAACGTATTCTGTCTTCGTGATCCAGGAAAAAATACATCGACAGAGAAATACATATGGGTCGCACACATAGTAAGAAAAATAGATGACAGATGGACGAAAGAACAGCGGAGTGGACTCCAAGAGAATGTAAGCGACCTCTTGCAAGACCGCCTAAATCGTGGGCGAACGTGTTAATGGTTAACGTCAACCGTTAACGTATTCGCAGATGGAATCGATACTAGGAATTCCGATTAGCACCATGGGCGACGATTGTTCGAGAGAGAAATGAGTGGAAATTATGCTTGGATCAGCACTATCAGTGAAGATGGGTCATCCAAGTAAACCAAATACACATCCGATCACGTCTACGACTGCACTAGTGGAGTCTGATACGTGTAGCCTCTCTTAGGGAACAATTGACATCAAAGTACTTATGCTTTAGCCTTTCATTCACTAAACACAACCTTACCCATCGACTTTGTGCGGATATTTGATTCGAATCCAAGCTGCCAGCATTCCACCGTATGATCCACCGAAGGCAATCACAGGTGATTTCTGTGCACCATTAAGTTTCTGCAAATAAATTGTTTTAAATTGTTGTAGTCAAGACTAGAAATCGGCATGTGAAATAATGCGATTTAAAGAAGTTGTTGAAAAGTGTGTTTATTTGCCTTCAAGAGCCTCGCTTGCATAATGGGAAAAGCTCCGTTGTGCTTTCATCCAAGATTGCTCGCTTCATTTTTCAAGCCTAAGGATCGTCATGGGCATTCCGGAACGCCTTAAGTGTTCTAATTACTTATTTGGAAACTCGGATGGTTCTCCTTCAAGAGTAGTGCAGGTCCTCCGTGCACTTTTCGTCTCTTTCTCATGCGTGGTGGTGGTCTGTTTCAAAAATGCACGGATATCAGCATCAGCACGGATCTTTTGGTAATGTTAAAATCGGTTCCTCCCTTAACATCTTAAAATCTGCGAATGCATGCGGTTGTCGTAAGCCAAGAGCAAATTTGCCCATTGATTAGATTGTCGTCCGAAAGGAGGGTTGTATGTTGTTGGAATTCGCTGAACATTTCTTTCCATCCAACTGCCATCTGTTCTTCTTGTTACATAACCTATCCATTTGTGTTTCGCTGTCAATACATATTCTTTTAGAACTCGAGGATGGGATAGCTTTGTAAGACTTGAGGTGCATTCTGGATAGACCTTGGATGTGTCGGTTAATATTCAGAAGACGTCGTTCAAGTGTTCTGCGGGTAATTGGTAGAATTTCTTTGCATACCAAAGCGCTGGGAGTACTGCTCAATCGAAAAGGTGTGTGTGTAGTTTCGATTTGGTGGATAACTTCTTTGTAAAGCTCGAATGCTCCGGATGACGCTCTCCTTCATCTCTTTAACACCGCCTTCATATCGTTCTCCAAGTTCATTGGGCGTCTAGACTACACGTACGAGGTGAAGAATAAAGCTCTCGGCATTGATCAAACCCTGAGGGATGCCATGCCTTCAACTTCATTAAGCATCGTTGGAGGTGATTGAATGGACATTTGGTCTACACAATCACTGCAGGGTACAGAAGAAGGTTTTTATTTGGAAATAAGCATTAAAAGTACTGACAAGATTTGAACATGTTAAATTACTAAAATGTCGTCCTCTACAAGGCCTTTCATGCAGAAAAAATACCGACCTTTTCTTTAAGGTGGTCAATAAGGAGCACAAAATCAGCTAGCGCCTGTTCTGAGCTGAGATAACCAAAATGATCCGTCGTATTGCAGCAATGATCACCGTACGGTTGTGTTTTTCCAAAGAAGCGATGCTCAGCGAAGACGACGGCTGCATGGAACTCGGGTGCAATATCCCACATAAAACCCTGAAAAAAGAGCCATTGTCAGAAATTTTTGCATGTTTTATCGAGTTTTATTTGGTTTTGTTAATTTCGAAAATTTTTTGGCCTTTGAAATTGAGCATGAATTGTCCACTGTTGGCAAGCGTACAATGCACGCACTGTCTTTGATTCGATCCGAAGCCTCAGCAACTCAATGTATGGGGACAAAGGGTGTTAAACGCAGACCAAGGACGGTCGTGTTCTTTCCCGAAGACAGTTACAGTTAGACATTAGTCCAAAGAAAAGACTCCGTTTCCTCTGCGTCGATTCGATAGAAGCGTAGATATCCTCTCATTCTTGAGTTCGTAGGTGTGTTCGTGTATACACAGTTTATACTCTAGCAGTGAATTCTGCCAAGAACTTGCAATGGAGTGACCGGGAAGTACGCAGGACGTGATTAGCGGTCACCATCAACAAATAAGCTCCAAGCTTACTCTTGGAAAGATGGGCAAGCTGCCTCTGAGTACATCCAACGCCTTGAAAGCTGGGGTACGCCAAGAATGGGTACCAGTACCCGAACACAGTAGACAAAATGGCTTCGTAATAACTGGAAGAACGAACTTTAAATTAACGTGGGCTCTTATCTAATAAGGCTTTTCCTTCGAAATATCCTTTTTGGGCTGGTAGGAAACTGTTGCCACATATGCTTGAAACTGAATGGCTAGCGTTACAGCGACTTCGATTTCCTCAGAACCGAAACGTATTATACAGTCGTGCTTTTATTATTTGCTATTTATTCCTTAATCTTAGTAAAGGCCTAATTTAACAACCAAACAAAACACTTGCTTGTTGAAAAGGAGTCACTGTATTCTTTTTACTGAGCGAGGCCACCAATATGATTTTAGCCTATAGTGAAAAATGAACCTCATTCAGGTCAGGAAATGACTCTATCTGGCTTCTCTAGGAGAGCGGTCACATATTATAATAAAACATTCATCGTCTCTATTTATTTTTGAACTTTTAAAGTCTATTCGAAATTCCATGCACGTTGATATTTTCAATTACCTTGCCAGGATCGTGGCAGTCATTTCTAAATTCGTCACCGTTGTCTTTTTGTGCCCGATAAGTGGCCGGGGATGTATAGTTTTAACTTACCATGTAGGTTTCCTTTAATGTGGACGGAAGGTGGTCTATCCTTTTCGCCAATGTATTCATCACAGCATGTCTTACAAGGGTTCAGGTATATTGTACATGAACTCATGCAGTCTTCGGCTCCGCCGCTGGAATTAATCAATCCTTCGTTTTTGTATAGATGGCAGTGTAGAGGGTTCTGAACTAATTCGCTACGTAGTGTGCTGGATGGAAGCTATATAAGTGGCGCAAAAGCCTCTAGACCGATGCTTTTTTAAAGCGTCTCTTAATTGCGCTGCTTATTTCGTTTCATATGAAGCATATCTTGGAAGTGATGTTTTTGACCTTCGATTAGTATTGTTCCCTGATCCAGCTCCGTTTTAGACCTCATTTCAACGATTGTCGTTTCGTAGCCACTTGAGATGGCTATTTGACTTGTGAAGTGATTTCTTTTTCCTTTCTTCTTCTGGACTCACCCTGTAGCCGTTCGATAGACGCTTGAACAAATGCTTTTTTTCGTACGAAAAGAGTGAAGAGTGAGGTGGTGCATTAGTATATTTTTATTGCCTTGATTTCGATACCATCTTGTTACGTAGCCCTTTTCGGGGAGGTGCATTTGGGCATTCAGGAATGCAAGCTAGTTTTCATCATGGTTTTTTCGCGTATGTTTTATACACTCTAAGTTTCTATTTAACAACTCAAATATTTGTCTATCTGCTCTTGTGTAGAGCAGATGACAAAACAATCATACGTGTATCGACAGCAGAGTAAAGATCGGTGATCGAGAACTGGAGCTTCCAGTTTGGACATGAAGACAATGGCAACGCTTAGTGCCAATCTCTGTACCTTTTGCCGACCCTTCGATTTCCCCGTCATGGCTGTCGGACCACTTAAAGATTAAGGAACTAATAGATTCCTTTAAGAGAGTTATGAGCTCATCAATTGAATCAACGTGCCAAATATATTCATAGGGAACGGCACGAAAAAATAACGGCGATGATTTAGAAATGGCTACCACGATCCTGGGGCAGGAATCAAAAATATCAACGTGCAACTTTCCTGACGCATTTGGGATAAACTTCAAAAGTATAAAAATAAATAGAGAAGATGAGTGCTTCACTGTAACACCAGGCCACTCTGCCACAGGTGAGAACATTTAAGTTAATTAATGACGAAGTTGATCGAAAGCCTGTTTTTCTAGCTATTACGATGTCACCTTGCTAACCGTGCCTGGATACTGACACTTATGAGTGGCTTACCCAGTTTTCAAGATTTTGGATGCGTCCACAGATAGCTTGTCAATCTTTCCCAGAATAGACTTGGAGCTTGTTTGTTAAAGGTGACTGCTAAGCACTTCCCGTGTGTTTTCCGTTTATTTGTTCCCAGGTTTTTGGCCGAATTGACTTGTAGAACACAATTTGTATATACGATACAATTTTATCCCCCAACAGCTTACCGCCTCATCGTGGTTGGGAGGTGTTCCTGGGTCGGGTGTTGTGATGTACAGCGAGGAGATTCATTCTCTTAGCAGGGTCTCAGCTAGATTAGAGCAAATTAATATTAGAATCCATCACCGCTCTGGTATCAAATTAGTCCCATGGTGGCAAATCTCCTGATCCACAACGGCAGCGACTGCCCATCGTGGTGATGACCTGGTGCAGGCTTTGGTAAGGCTGACCTCAGGAGTCCAGGGAACCACTATGGCTAAATCAGCAGAACTTCGAGAAAATGGAGATTGCGCTGGGGCACGCTCAATCAGTGAGTACGGGCCATCCCAGTATCCAAGTAATTTGTATGTACTCAAACACACCCACGCACTCATGCTTAAGAATTCTACTCATGTGTCAAATCGATGCCGATGAAACAAAGTCCATCACCTGGATCAATCTGCGTCTCAGGGAAAGAAAAGATCGATGGCTTTTCCGCGTTTATCCTGCAGCGCACTCGTACAGTAACGTGATGACACGTGTTATCAAACCAGCGACTCCGTGTATGTTGTAAGCCATTTTTGGTCACTGTGCTATACCCAAATGTATTTACCCATGCAGCGGGTAAAAAGTGAGCCCTAGAGACGGTAGTCGTGTTTTCGAATTTGGCTTGGAGTGGAAGTTTTGCAAATATCTCAGTATCACTGTGTTTGTATTTCACATATTACCGTGCAATGAAAAAGTAATAGGCGTAAATGAAAAGTTAGACACTGCGGTTTTTCACTCATATGAGTCACTGGCGGCCATGAAAGCTTGGGACAGCTAAGATGTCGCTACCTAGTACATAAATATCCTTGCGGTGTATATAACAATTTTACAACAAGAATATCACCATTCTACAACGATACTCTTAGTTACGTAAACAGGAGGATCGGACAAGGCGATACCATCTCGCCACAATTATTTACAACTACCCTCAACAAAAGGCGTGTGTGACGCAGTGATGGGAAGAGCCCCGCAACACACACGTGGAATCGATCCCCGCGCCCATGGCCCATCGAGCCCTCCATCCTGCAGGGCCGGCAGATTGGTACCACACTTGTCTAGGGGATACCAACACTGGCTTGATACGTCGGTAGCCCACCGCGTGTCATTGTAAAGTCCAGATATGCATTCAATCACCTCCAAACGATGTTTAATGAAGTTAAATGCATGGCGCACCCCTCAGGGATTGATCAACGCCTAGAGCTTTATCCTTTTTTTTATTTTTTACCCTTGAGAACGTCATTCTAGAGTAGGACAACATGGAATGAAATATTTTTTTGCTTAACTCGTGATCACATAGTCGGCGGTTCCCTACACTTCTTGCATTCGATTCGTTATCCTCGCATTTATCCTCCAAAGTGTTCCTCGAACATTTCGTGTGTTGTTTTCGCTGTTGCATGAAGAATTTGTCCTGTTCATCAATGTCGTAGAATGCTGATCGAGTCTATTCTTCTTACACTCTTGATGATTACCATGCGTTTCCGTGTGAACTGGAAGAAAACATTGGAGTGGGAGTCGAACTAAGACCCTCGCTTTCTGACCAACGGCATCACTAACCACTGTACTACCTCCCCGTCAGGAATAAAACCGACGGTGTGCAATTACGCCAAGTTCGTTTTCCTGCCTAAATAGTTAACACCAAGCGTTAGCCAGGTTGAAAGAATGTCCGTCGACTTCGACATTGTTATTGGAAAGATTGGTATTTTTCTAGAAAGGAAGATCTTCAACAAAATCCAGGGAAAACAATTTCTTTTCTTTGTTCCCAGGATCGACTTTCTATTAACCTCGGCATTGGAATATGAATGCGTCGTTTTCTTGTTCAGCAATTGCGAAGTTTTCAAACAGCATACATTTACTTCCATAGAGAAACACAATACAATACAACACCAGCTGACGTTTCAGCAGTATCGCCTTCTTCAGAGCCGCTTTTTCGTGACTTCCAATGAGGAAGTTTAGAACAGCTGATTATAGTTGCATATGGTTGACGACTCAATCATCATATGCGACTATAATCAGCTGTTCTAAACTTCCTCATTGGAAATCACGAAAAAGCGGCTCTGAAGAAGGCGATACTGCCGAAACTTCAGCTGGTGTTGTATTGTATTGTGTTTCTCTATGGAAGCAAATGAATGCTGTTTGAAAACTTCGCAATTGCTGAACAAGAAAACGACGCATTCTTTTCTTTGTGTTCCTGTTGAGCTGAAACGAGCACCACTGGAACGTCAGCATCATAGCAATAAGGAGTAAAATAACATCTCGTGTTTGCTCAAAGAGAATATAACGAATCAATTGACCAATGAACAGGTTAATAGAAGGTCGATCGTGTGTTTTACAATTTCTTTTGTTAAGACCGGTTTGTGTTTGGCGCCCCATTAATACTCTGCGCAAAGAATATCTCCGAATAATGCAGCTCCTTCTATCTAGGTCGGGAAATTA